AAGAAAACACTCCCATTTACCATTGCAACAAAAAGGATAAAATATGTAGGAATAAACTTACCTAAGGAGACAAAAGACCTATTGAAGAAAATTATAAGAATCTGATGACAGAAATTAAAGATGATACAAATAGATGGAGTGATATATCATGTTCTTGGATTGGAAGAATCAACATTGTGAAAATGACTCTACTACCCAAAGCAATCTACAGATTCAATGCAATCCCTATCAAACTACCACTGGCATTTTTCACAGAACTAGAACAAAAAATTTCATAATTTGTATGGAAACACAAAAGACCCCGAATAGCCAAAGCAATCTTGAGAACGAAAAACGGAGCTGGAGGAATCAGGCTCCCTGACTTCAGACTATACTACAAAGCTACAGTAATCAAGACAGTATGGGACTGGCACAAAAACAGAAAGATAGATCAATGGAACAGGATAGAAAGCCCAGAGATAAACCCATGCACATATGGTCACCTTATCTTTGATAAAGGAGGCAGGAATGTACAGTGGAGAAAAGACAGTCTCTTCAATAAGTGGTGCTGGGAGCACTGGACAGCTACATGTAAAAGAATGAAATTAGAACATTCCCTAACACCATACACAAAAATAAACTCAAAAGGGATTAGAGACCTAAATGTAAGACCAGACACTATAAAACTCTTAGAGGAAAACATAGGAAGAACATTCTTTGACATAAATCACAGCAAGATCTTTTTTGATCCACCTCTTAGAGTAATGGAAATAAAAACAAAAATAAACAAACGGGACCTACTGAAACTTAAAAGCTTTTGCACAACAAAGGAAACTACAAATAAGACGAAAAGACAACCCTCAGAATGGGAGAAAATATTTGCAAATGAAGCAACGGACAAAGGATTAATCTCCAAAATTTACAAGCAGCTCATGCAGCTCAATAACAAAAAGCAAACCAACCCAATCCAAAAATGGGCAGAAGACCTAAATAGACATTTCTCCAAAGAAGATATACAGACTGCCAACAAACACATGAAAGAATGCTCAACATCATTAATCATTAGAGAAATGCAAATCAAAACTACAATGAGATATCATCTCACACCAGTCAGAATGGCCATCATCAAAAAATCTAGAAACAATAAATGCTGGAGAGGGTGTGGAGAAAAGGGAACACTCTTGCACTGCTGGTGGGAATGTGAATTGGTACAGCCACTATGGAGAACAGTATGGAGGATCCTTACAAAACTACAAATAGAACTACCATATGACCCAGCAATCCCACTACTGGGCATATACCCTGAGAAAACCATAATTCCAAAAGAGTCATGTACCACAATATTCATTGCAGCTCTATTTACAATAGCCCAGAGATGGAAACAACCTAAGTGTCCATCATCGGATGAATGGATAAAGAAGATGTGACACATATATACAATGGAATATTACTCAGCCATAAAAAGAAACGAAATTGAGCTATTTGTAATGAGGTGGCTAGACCTAGAGTCTGTCATACAGAGTGAAGTAAGTCAGAAAGAGAAAGACAAATACTGTATGCTAACACATATATATGGACTTTAAGAAAAAAAAGTCATGAAGAACCTAGGGGTAAGACAGGAATAAAGACACAGACCTACTAGAGAATGGACTTGAGGATATGGGGAGGGGCAAGGGTAAGCTGTGCCAAAGCGAGAGAGAGGCATGGACATATATACACTACCAAACGTAAGGTAGATAGCTAGTGGGAAGCAGCCACATAGCACAGGGAAATCAGCTCGGTGCTTTGTGACCGCCTGGAGGGGTGGGATAGGGAGGGTGGGAGGGAGGGAGATGCAAGAGGGAAGAGATGTGGGAACATATGTATATGTATAACTGATTCACTTTGTTAAAGAAACAACAACAAGAAAAAAAACATATTATAGTATATTACTATAGAAAATATGGTCACCTGTTGTTCTAGGATCATATTCTTCTCTCGCTCTACGTTAAGAACCATTCTCTTTGTATATTCTAGTTGTTTCTCTAGAAGGGTACAGTGAGACTGGGCTGAGCTTAACTGCATACTTATATCTATGAAAAAGAAAAAGTAATAATGAGTAGTTAGTTATCACATAGATCAGAGTTATAACAAGAAATGTATTCTATGAATTCAATCAACAGCTAAAAGTTCAAGACTTCTTTAGTTCTAAATATTGACTCTCCCAAAGTTATGAACATACATTTTGTGTATATCTCATTAATTATATATAACCAATTTAACGTTGTCTCCTCATAAACACCCAGAGGGCATATTTCTGAAAAGGAAGGATGTCAGTGACCTGTGGGATAACAAAAAACCTGGCTCTTCCAGGGAAATAACACCATCTGGAAAATAGAGGACCTAAAGTCTCTTTCCTAACAGTACATTTCTTCTCTTTCAGGAAACTCAGGTATATGCATTCTACCATTCCCATTTTCCTCTGTTCTCGACTACTAACTGTACAGTTAATTCTATTTATAATAAGCAACCTCATTCTAATTCTTTAATTCATTACTTTCCTCAGCTCTTTCTTCTCCTTTTGTCCAATTTCCTTGGGATTTTTTTCCCTCCCCATTTCTTCATTCTATTTATAAGTTGAAACACAAATTTGAACCTGTGTTTATGAGGGTGATGTAGTGTTACAAGGAAAAAAAAGCCACAATTTTGAAGTGAAATTATATAAAGAACTTATGTTCTAAATCTCTAAAAGAGATGTCCAGAAGTCCTTTTCATAATTTCCACAGAAACCTCCACCTACCTGTCCATTTCTTCCAATTAATCTCTTAAGTTAAATATAATTTTTAAAATTAATTTTTATTGTTTTATGTTGTTTAATTACTAATATTGCTTTATATTTTCTAATTAAAAAAAAACTAGTGAAAATATGAAGTATTCCAATTATATTATGGGCTAATAACATATTGGATTTTGTTGGTATTCTGAAAATATTATAATTCCTAAACACAACTTGTCTAATTTTTCTTTTAATCTCAAAAATTTATGAACTGGGATAACAGATATTATAGAGGTAAGTCCGAAATTATATCCATTTAGTGCAAATACCAAAATGTCTGAGAACTAGCCATCAATGCTGGAATGCATATAAGAACAAAGATATTTGAGTAAATCTTCTTAGACTGGGCTTATTATTTTCAAGTTGTAAACTTTGGTAACCACTTGTTTCTGAGAACTATTGAATGTTCTTACCTTTTTTCTGCTTTATTAGTTCCTCATGTGCCAGATTTCTCTCCTTTCTTTCATCCTCCAAGGCCTTTTTATACTGTGCCGCTTCTCTGGAAAGAATGTTCAGGTTATCTTCAGCTTGTGTTCTCTCTAACTCTAAACGATGAATCTTTTCCTGAAGAGTTTTTAGGGCTAAAATAAGAGCTGTTGAAAAAAAATTTGCTTGATATTTTAAGTGAGAATTTTTGAACACTTACAATCATAGTAGCATATAAAATCGAGCAGTATGTTTTTGTTAGTGAGCCAAAAAAATAAGTAATTTATATTCCTCATAAAAAAGAAAAATGACAAGACTTTAAAGAGGGACAAATTCTAACATATCTTACAAAAACAATATATTTATGATTATATTTAGTACTTTCCTAAATTTGATATGAGAAAGCTAATAATCACTAAATTTAATAAAATAAATATATTCAAATTAAGGCAAAAAGATATATATATGTATATGTATATATGTATGTGTGTATATATATGTATATGGAGAGAGAGAGGTGGGGGGAGAGAAAGGGAGGAAGGTTGGGAGGCATAAGAGTCTGAGCATGGATAAAGAAAATTAAAATATAGTGCCCACTAACAAGGAAACTTAGGTTTAAAGTTAAGAGTTTTTCTCAGTTCTTCATGTATTCAGTTTCAGTCAAACCACAAACATTTACTGTTTCTTTGTCCAAGATATAATGTTAATAATTAGGACATATGAGATAGAACATAGTTTCTTCCATTAAGAAAAAATTACAACCTAGTGGTTTAACTGATGTCAGGTTTGAAAGATTTTAAGTGTTTACACATGCACTACTGTGATTTCTTTTCAGCTATATTAATATCTTCATGATTCAGATAAGCTCAGAGTTATAAAATTTTCAAATATTATCTTACATTTTCTTCTCAGTTACAACTTTAAATTATAAAAAACTAGAGATAAATGGAATATAAATAAATGTTATAAGTTAACTTTCATATAGTTTATATCCAATTAGAAAGATGTCTGCTACAGATTATTTTTTGATTCGGATTACTATTTCTTCAGTTGCTTTGCTCCACAAAGCCAGTGTATTTATAATGGCAACCATTATTATAAAAGATTAAAAAACAACGTGACTATCATCATCTTAGAAAGTAATTTGTAATGGTGTAGGTATGCCTGGAGTCATAAATGTTTTCCTAATTCAATTTTAAGATCCTCCTAAGCTTGTATTTTAAAAGTTATAATACTTGTATTTTGTAGTTACTCCAATGTACTGGATTCATGAAGAATTTTCAAGGGTAATTTCAGATATATGAAATTACTGAATTTAATCCTTGAATAAGACAATTCTACTTAATTCGTTAGTATTCTAATCATCTTGTTTATTAGAAGGATTCTCCAAATCTGACCTTTTATTCTTCAAAGAGTATTTTCCTATTTTCTAATGACGTTTTAATAAGCCTGCAATATGTGCCTAGCTGGTTACATTAATTTTCATCTTATAGCTGAAGAAGCCAAAATAAAAAAATGTTAAGTAACTTAAGTTTATAGAGACTTTAAGAAACAGAGTCAAAATTAGCAGTTTTACTAAGATTAGTTAAATACACAATCATCTTATTTTCTACATAAAAATGAAAAGTTTTGTATAACATACTTCGTACCATTTCCCTAATGTTAAATAAGAATTTTTATTAGCATTACCTTGGCTATTTGGACTATGAAGCATTTTAGGAGAGGTAACTTCTAAGTTCACAGAGTAGTGAGTCTGAGATGATTCATCACTCTGGGTGATTGATGGAACAAGCACTCTTTCTGGAGGTTTAAGATAGCTTCCTACTATACTGTGCATTAATTCAGAATCCATTATCTGTACTTCTGTACTGTGCCAATAAAGGAATGGCACAGTATAGCATCATTCTTTCCTATGTGAATGACAAAAACATTAGACAAAAATTCAGATGAAATTTTAAAATAAATACATAATCATATACTGTGGAATTGTGTCTTTACGAAGTTAATTGTCACAAATTCAACTATAATAAATTCAGCAGTAAAAGAAAGAAAAATGACTATTTACTCTATAAACAGTATAGACAATTCTGCCTGACTTTCAATGAGTATATGCTCTGGAGTGAGCATTACATGGGTGGTGTGAATTTGCTGGTTTCTCAGTTGATCATAAGTTCATCATCTGAGCACCCCTCTAAAAGAGTTTGACTCTAGGGTTCAGAGAGAAAAGTATATATTGTAAAAGACAACACAAGCCGCCCACATAACATGATTCTCTAAGACTCTAATGTACTGGCCTCCTAAGGGATTTTCAAGGGTAATTTTGGATATATCAATTTCTGAGTCTAACCCTTGAATAAGACACAACTCCACTTAATGCACTAGCATTCTAATCATGTAGTTTAGAAGGGTTCCAAATCTGAAAATCTAAAATAGCTTTACCTTGTCATTCTGGGCTTTTTTTTGTATGTTTGTTGGAGAGCCCTTTTAACCATCTTAGCAGATAATTTTTAAATGTTCCCAAATCATTTTATTTTCCTTTCTGTAATTTAAATATTTTAGAAATGTATTCTACTTAATAGATTATAGTCAATGTTAAATAAATTAACTCATAACCACACTGAAAGAAACAGAAAATTGTTTATACACAAAACAATTTACCAGCACAATTTTTAGAATGAAAGTTTGCTTTAAAATGTAAATTTAGAATTCCTTTGTAGAATTATAATTAGCCTACTTTAATTTTTGAGAATTGTAAAATTTCAGTGATTTCACTACCTTCCCATTCACAGGGCAAAGGAAGATACTTCCATGACTGTATTTCCTGGGATGGCAGGAAACATACTTCACTCAATAGGATTTTCTACTTTAGCCACTGTCATGATGTGTTGTCTTCCAGTACACTCTCATCAGTCTAAATTAGAGGTTATAGAGCCTAGGAAGCTTTGCTAGAATACTTGATGCTCTTTGATCTTAGGAGGTGATCATTTTTGCTTTTGTTATTAGCACGAGCTACCATTTACTAACCATGTCTCTGTCCCTCTGGGTTCTTGCTGCTTAGACACTGTCTGCTCCCCATGGGAGACTGCATCTATCTAAGTTGCTGTTCCCTCAAAAAATAAGAGAGCAAATTTAGTTACAGCTGGCTCACAATAAAGTAAAGGCAGGGTCCCAAAGTACAGATGTTCTGAACATGGTCGTACATCTTCAGAGAGAGATATGTGATTGAGACTATCCAAAGAACTTTGGAGTTACTCGAGAAATCTGATTCCGTTTTCAGCTCCTGCTGAGTCTCTCCAATAATGAAAAGAATGAAATTTTGCCATTAGTCACTATACACTGAAGTCCTTGGGAGGACTGTCTGCTTCCTCTGTCCCAAATATAGTATTATTTTACGAAGTCAATTTTTGCACCAATTTAAAAAAACTCAAGGGTTTTAGTGTATATGAAATGACTACTCAGAAGATACCAATAAGTTAAAAATTAGACCAAAGTTTATTTAAATTAAATGTGTAAACACATCTGAAAGTGGGCATAAGTAGAGTAATAACCTACTGGTATATGAAGAAAAGAAAGGAAACAGTAAAGAAATGAGAGAAAACAAGCCATGGGGGTTCTCACTGTAATAAGGATTCCAGCTTAACCCTTACAATCTAGCCCTGTATTATAAACAAGTGCTTAAAAACTACTCAAAGCTTATTTACATAAAGAACTGAGGCATCCTAGGAGAAAAACTCTGAAGGAATATGACAGATGTACAAAAACCCTGATCCAAAATCAAAGCCTTAATTGGTGGAGGAGAGGAGGAGTGATTCTGAGTAGAGTATGGTGGTGGTCATTCTAATTCATCTCTGACCTAGTCCCATTGACACATACATGGCTGTAGGGAAGAGAGAGGGCTGGAAGTAGAAATGAGAAATATTTCACCAAGATCTCTATAAAAGATTGAGGCACTAGATGCCTTGCTTTGTATAAGATGTTATATTCCAATGAAGGGGGAAGTTGCCAGAGATCACTAACACAGTTTTGGCACTTTAAGAGTTCTGTTGCATTGGTAGTACTGTTTAGCCACAGAGAGACAGCAAGAGAGTGAGAGAGCAGCTGGAAGGGACATATTCATGGCATGTATGAGAGAAATTTCTAGAGGAAGTTTTCTGAAAATGCAGAGAGCTGCCTAAGCCCCATCCTCCAAGGAATGTGAATGTTTGGTATGAGATCTAGCTGTAGGTTATTGAAAAGACCTCAGAAATTCTTGTTGGAGTATTCTGTCCCACAAGTAGGGGCAAAAGGCTGTAAAATGTGGGCCTCGATTGTATCAATAGCCTGGTAAAGCTTAGGAAAACTCAAGTTATGCCTGGAACCATTCCTGACAGCTTGTAAACAATCAGGGAAATTATCCATTGCCTCTATGGTTTATAAAATTAAGACACGTTAATTAGCTGCAACTAAGGTGCCACTGCATAAAGAAACTATCCCCTCTAAAGAATGTGCTAGACACAAATACTTAACTGCAAAGCATTTTCACTCGTTCTTGAGGGAAGTAATTGTTCCAAAATGGTCCCTTTAAACAACCAATGTCTATTCCTGC